AAGTTTCACATGCCATCTGCATGTATGTTCATCTTGATCCTCCAGACAAGTGTGGAGACAATGGGGACTACTAGTAACTGCAAATTTCAGGTGTCCACAGCGGAACAGCTAAGATCCAATAAACCTCCAAGCATTGTCGTGAGCACATACAAGCTTTTCTTGAAAAAACACTGCAATGCTGAGACGCTAAGTTAACCAAAGTATGGAGGGCTTCACTGAAAAATAACACAAATACAGGACTATTAAACATTTGTCTTTAAAGTTACCAATGGAAACACTTTACACCTCAAATGCTGCAGCTCCTCCTTTCCACAAGAACCTCAAACTATCAGAAAACTGGATGTAAAACTTCAGCTGTTTCAAGATCATTCTTTTGATCTGGGGCTGCTTGGAACAGAAGTTACCCCATACTATTCAAGAGTCATGAGGAGATCAGTGCAAAAATCAGCATCCACAGCTATGTGTTTCTGGATGCATTAGCTGCACCACAATTAACATTTTAAAATGTTAATGGAAAGCAAGCTAGAATCTTGGACAGAGGCCTTTTAGGCCAAGGGTCAGACTTGGAAATGGACCCCCTTAACAGATAAAAGTTGTTTACTTTTTAAATTCTGTATCATTCAATAGGCTTAATGTGAGATTTCCGAACTGTTCTCAGGGTTTACAAGTATACGCTGACAGATAATCTGGATTGGGTGAGAACAACCTACATTAGGAGAGAAAACCACAGCGCTTTCATTGATACGCACTCTCCCACCACTGACACCAGTTTTCCCTTCAGGACGTACTACACAGAAGTTGATTACAGGCTGTGGAACGTTATTCCTCCTCCCTAACTTTCTTTTCAAATGTAGAACTTCCAAAAGGCCCCAGAAGTTTCTTTAGGCTACCCCAGGCTGTACAACAGACTTACCAGATACACTGTTAACTCCGAAGGACCAAATACCGCTGTGACCGACAGGAGCCGTGAAGTTGGTTCCTAAGGGTGTAGGAGTGACGGATCCGCCCTGTCGAATTCTAGCAAGCCTTTCTGTCCCGATGGGAGGGGGTACCTTTCGATCTTGATTGGCGTTACCCGTTTTTGGCTGGCCCAAGTTAGAAGGTGCAGAAGCAGCTGAAAGGGGCGAAGATGATCCTGAGGAAACTGATGGAATAGGAGATTCACCTGCTGAAAAGAGTATTTCTCTTGCTTAATTACACACAAAGCACACAAGCTAGCGAGCATAAATGCTATCCGCTCTATCCCCCCAGTATTATCTCAAAGCAAATGATAAAAAGGTTTTAAAGGCTTTTTTGGCAAGCATTCTTCAAGTCTTTCACAGAAATTCTGTTTAGAGTTTAACTCTAAAATCAACATTATAACACAAATGCTTTCAGCCATCAGAATCATGATATTCTCATGACATAGCAGTACATCTAAATTAATTACAAGAAAGAATAAGAAACATGGAAGAGTTTCAGGAAGAGGTGAAAACATCAGCCAAAATACCATAAATATCTAAACAGCCTGGTTTTGGTATCCACCACTTCCAGCAGAAGAGAAATTGGACAGCTTCCCAAAGCCATGTGTAACATAAGAACATAAATCCCACCAACTTCAGAAGCGTCACTGACTCTTCTTGGGAAATCCAACTTCCTTTGAGCACTCATTTAAACATTTTGGTTCTTAAGCTCAGAGTGGCAATGAAGTTGCATGCAGTGACATGAAAAGCCTCTTCACTCAAGATTCTGAATCAAAGACCCATATTTTCTGTAAAGCTACTTCCATGTTCTTCCCATCAGGAGGAAAACCCACTGTTACCTCGGATGATGCTTAAAGATTTTGGAACATTTTAAGTAACATGAAATAATTCCAGAATCCCAATTTAAAAAAAAAAAAGCAAGCATAGCTTCAAACCATGGCAAACATGACATTTTCACCTAATATTACACTTATACTATTTAGAGGGGAATCTTTAGCTTGGTATAATCACCTCCACTCCCCCACAGCTTCATGGCCTCTCCTCTCAGAGCCTACGATGACTGATTTTTTTGCCCAAATATGCCTTTAGTAACATTACCAGAACTAGTGGCATTTTACATGGGAAAAAACACAAAATAGTACAGCTTGGGATGTGCACGCCATCCTCACAGCTGCTAAAAGCAATTGGAAAGCATTGTGTGCATCACTGGGTAATTTCCCCTCAAGTTACAAATCTACTAAAGACAATAGCTATGAATTTATAGTTAACTAAGACAGACCCATGAAGTTCCTACATGAATTTGTTGCGCTTGTCCAAGGATGTGGTGAAAAATGCTGTCTGTTAAAGCTGGGAGTCCCAACAGGCGCTGGCCCTTGAAGGTAAACCCGTGCTCCTTGTATGTTTGCTGAAAAGCCTGTCAAAGGACCTGAAGAAGAAGTTGTAGAGCTGTTGGATGGATCTAGAGAGGGTAAGCCTGAAATAAACATAAATTTGATTAAATATCTCTCTTTGGGAACCTGCTTCAAAGCACCAGAGCGAGCTAGTGCTCCAAATATAGTTAAAGCATCTCATCACCTTCGGGGGTATCTGCACACGGTAAGTTCATTTTACAGGTGCACGATTCTCCCTTAGAAACCGACAGAAGGCATTTCTGTACACTCTCTGCTTTGGCCTGAAGTTTTAATAAAAGACAGCCATCCCTTTGGTCACTGGAAAGAAACGATCTTAGCAGGGAGGGCAAAGGAGGAAAGGTGGGAGTGGCAAGGACCTTTTGCTTACAAAAAAGCCACGCAAGCCAAACAGGGATACAGGGCTCTGTGAAAGTCCCAGGGGAATCCGGCACCAGGGAAGGAGTTCGCTGCAGTACAGTTTTTGCCATCCTACAGGTACATTCATATATAGATCGGTCAGAGCATGCTGTGTCCAGAGAAACAGGACTGACGATGCACAGCACAACAGGTGAGGGGGCTGCTTTCTACAGGGATGTGTGAGAGGAAGGGAGAGATGGAGAGAAAGTTCAAAGTCCCACAAAAATTATTAGCAAGGGGGAATTACAGTTTTTATTAAGCCAAAGCTTTTAAGTACTTTTCAAAATGTTGTAAAAGCTCTTATCACACGTTATTACCTGAAAGCAGAAACGGGCATGGCCATGTGTTCACCTGAGTTTTGGGTTTAGTTTCAAGGGCCTATTAAACAAGACTAGTTTCAAAACCATTTAAACATTTGAAAATGACCACAACCAGGACCAGCCTATATTGCTGCAAAGCAAGATTGAAGGTTGTACCTACTTACACCACAGCAGTCTGCAAACAGCAGTGGTGACAGGTAATACCTTTGGTCATAGACTAGAGGTGCGCCTTTCATCGCCTGGATACGTTCCTGAAAGCCAGGTCTTTTTCCCCCAATATTACCAACCAAGTCAACCTGATTTACTGCTTCCAGAAGTGCCAGATCCAACCTGCTCACATTGACAGAAATGACCCACTGGATTTGAAGGAGGTATTTTTCTCACTAGCCCTACCCCAAAGGTTAAAAAAGTCTCCATTAGAGACAAGGAGAAATAAATCACCGCCACCACCAGAACATGGGGTGCTCAGACAAGGGAACCTGAGCATGGGAGGACAGTCTTTCAGGGTTTGTCACAGCACAAAGTGCAAGACTCCATGGCTATGAGGAGGATGCTAATGCCTGTGCAGGCTGCCTGTAAATGCAGTTTTGACTGATCTGCGTTTGTCTAGAGCTGCAGACTGGCCTCCAGCCATAAGTAATATGCAGCACCTCGGGCTGAGGGCCCTTCCTGTGCATCTGCCGTGGAGCTACCGATGGGACACCCTTGCTAACCCTCCATCCACAGAAGTCAACTCAGAGGTAGTCAAAAGGCCCATATAGTGACCGATTCCACCGCACATCAAAACCAAGTTTCCAGCTGGCTAACAAACTACTGAAGATCCCGAGTCTCTGCCCCATACAGAAGGGGTAACAGAGCTGCTGCCGCCCATGGAGACTGCTGGTTTCCTAAACAGAGAACAAGGCAGAGATTATGACAAAAATAGCTCTTCTGCAGAAGAGACATGCCCAGCTGTGTCTTTTGACAGCTTGGTAGGATGGGTACACAGCTTTCAAAGTGCAACAGCTGTACAGCCAAGATCATTTCAGCACTGCTGTGTATTTTCTACAGGTGAAAGTGTGGCAGCCAGAGATGCACAAATTCAACAGAGTAGTCAGTTTTCAGGTTGCAAAGAACGCTTTTTAACATTATCTTGCCTTTCATAAAAGTGGATTAAAAAAACCTTTGCTCAATATTAAAAATGGCTTCTATGAACAATGACTTACAGAATCCTGATTTCAGTAACAAGTTTCCTATTCGTGTACTTACCAACAAAATCAGGTTTTATAATACTAAAACCTTTTGCAATACCATACTCTGCAGTTACTTGGGCCATGAACTCAAACTCTTCATCATGCTCTGAAAGCATAACTCAGCTTTCGAGACTGGTGTCAATCTCACACAAACTCTGCTCAAAATTCAGTTTATCAAAGCCCCCAGGCACTTCTGCAGAAACTGGTTACTGCAAGGGCTACCTCCACCTTTAGAGAAACAGCCGCAACACTTGGTTACTCCATGTGAAACAGGGAGCCCAGCCATTTCATGCTACTTCATACTCATGTGCTGCTTCCTAAGCTGGCATATTTCAAGTTTGTGATACCTTCTAATGCCACGTGAGCAAGGTCTCAAGCCCCTTCTTAAAATGCGGAGGAAAGAAGTTACAGACAGACTTCTTTTTGTCTTCTCCATAGCCTCCCCAAATGGTTGGGCTAAATCTGCCCTCAATCTGGAAGCTGCTAGGACAAGAGATCTAAAGACATAAGTGAGACAAAAGGCCATTTCCAGAACAAATCCACAGCCGGTGGGGAGATCTGCAGATGTATCTGTGCCTCGAAGGAGCTGGTGAATCAGAGAAAACTCAAGCTGCAACTGAGCTTACCCGTGAATAGGAAAAGCAGAGTACTCATCTCCACCCTGAGGTGACAACTTGTTAAGAAAAAGCTGGTTTAGTGCACAATTAAATTATATTAAACCTCCACCAAGTCAGCTTAGAGGTGGTGATCACCAAGAGATGTTGATTTGTGGAAAAAATTGCCGCAGCTCAACTGCGCAAGACAGGCACAAAAGACAAACCTCTGCTCCGTCAGGTGTAGAGTCACAGCCGAGATTAGAGGATCGGAGTCCACCTGCTTTGATGGCCATCACTACTCCCTCTCATCACACAAAAGCGTACTGAATTGCCAGGCAAGGCCCAGACTGCTCCTTGTCCATCGCACTGCTGTTGGCCAAAGCGTAAGCCAGCAGTGACTGGCCCTTTTCCTCCCTTCTCAAAATCGCCAGAAACCTGCCATCGAACCCGATGGAAACAGCCATGGCAGTCCCCAGTTCAACCCACCTCGGAGGCAGAGCTGAATGGAAAGGTCTGTTCCCCTGGGAAGAGCCAGTGAATGAGATGGGTGGACAGACCACAGGACCACACTTACACTCCAAGGGAAGGCATCGGAGAGGTCCTCAGCCTACCGTCCCCACTCCTTTCCTCACTATCACACCTTCAAAACACCCCCTTCTCCCCAGGCTCCCCTAACCCCCGCCCCCCTCCTCCTGTGTGACAGACAGTTTAGATTCTGAAATGAAGGTGATCAAAAGCAGTATTAAGTAGAATGACATTAAATGAATCAGCTAAGGACCAGTCACCTCCTGCCAGCCAGAATTTTAGTGGCACATCTACATTTGCAGTTTTTCTTCACTTGGCAATATCCTACTCAAATGCCAGCTCAGAAAAAAATGTCTTCTGTCCAAATATTTTTGTGCTTCGGTTGAGAAGAACTTCATACTTATCTCCCCAAAGTCAACTGCGTGAGCTCTCCTTGGGTATCTACCTAACCTTCCTAACTCAGGTAAGAAACAAATTTAGACTACCTTTTAAATACTTACAGTCATTTAAGGATATATAAAGGACTAAGAAATTTTTCTCACTGACAAACAGATGACCTTAGCATAAGGGAACAGCAAAGTTTTTTGCTGCTATGGGAAGTCCCAGTCAGCCGTCTCAGCATCAGCAGGATGCGATCATCAGAAAAATCAGCAGATCCCATTTGCCATAAGCTGCCTTCCCCAGGGGTTATTCCAGCAGCCGCCAACTCCCAGTTTAGAGCACTGCAGATAAAAAGCTGAGGCAACATAAAGTGTTTCTGGAGTCTGCTGAGGAGGGTCTGGCAATTCTTTTATTAGCAGCCTATCTGACGAACAAGGTCCAGTTACTTTACCTTCCACAGCCTTAGTTGCATCTGGTTCTGCTTACTGCGCTGGGACTGGACGTGGCACAAGAGCTCTAGGTATTCACTCGCTCTGCAGAGCTATACAGCCCAAATTAAACTATTAAGAATAAAACTACGGTCATAGCAAGCACCCCAGTTTTGTGGTTAAAGCTAGTCAGAGAGAAGTGTTCTGGTTTTCAGAAGTCCTGCGCATTTGTAAATCAATCGAGAGGAATGGGAATGCTGAAAATCTTCTTTCCTCACCACGACGTCCTCCAAATGCCCCCTTCTCCTTTAGTCTGAAAGTCAAACTACTTGACTTGTCCCAATCCAGCATTCAAGTCCTGAAGCATTAGTCCAAGTATCTAGCATACACTGTGGGGGTAAAGACAACTTCAAAGCAAGGCTCTCTAGCTACCCAGCTTCAAGGCACCATAAAGCCATTATGGCAAGAATGAAGGGGAGAACAGGGTGGCCCAGACTATATCTCTTGAGGGTCCCTTCTAGCCAAATGGGTGCAGCCAGTTGCCTGCAACATAGTTTGAGCACTAAGATGATAATAATCCTTTAGACAGAGCACAGCAAGGGCAGGGAGCTCACTGTGAGTGTTCCTAACCCATTTCAAATAAATGCAGATAAGTTTGAACTGCTGTACTTAACAGCAGAAGGACAGCAACTTCCTAATAAAACACACCACGCAGTAACACACCGGTTTCCCAAAGCACAACATAAGCTTATTAAAATCCCAGAGCCATATCAAGAGACAAAAAGTACAGAGAGTTTACCCTCACTGAGTCAAGCTGGAGTCTCAGATAAAATATTGAACAACTGCATGCGGTCACTCCTACAGCTGGAACCTGTCAAGAGTCCTGGCCCCGCTGCTTCAGGTTTGGTATCACCTGATCTTATGTTCCATTCCAACCCAAAAGCTAAAATCAATGCTACTCTGAACTCTACAAACAGGTGGAAGCAGTCCTGTGCCTTACAGAGGACAAGCAATGCAATGTCTGCAATGTTCCCAACACCTAACATCCTAGAAGAGCTGAAGAGGAAAAAAAAAAAATCATCATCAACATTTTAAAGAGCACTTGGAAAAAACAGGCCATCCTCATTACATTACTATTCTCTAACTGTCATTTGTAAACTACTTCTCAATCAGTTTGAGACGACCAAAGCGTAATGGTTGGAGAACGAATTCTGTCCAGTGCATGATCTTTATGACTTACCTACAGGACTAGTCGAAACCCGTTGGGAAGGTGGCCTGAAACCAGGAGCCTTGGAGTTGTCAGGATGCACATTTTCCACGTGTCCTAGCACAGAGTTATTCAGAAAGGTAGACTGAACAGTGAAAGATGGGTCAGCAGCTGCTCGGGTAGAGAGTGGACAGTCTCCCCATCCTTGGTTAGCTGGCACCTGGTTGCTATCAAAAAGACTACTAAAGTGATTGAAGAGCGTTGCTGGCCCAAAGGTAGGAGGCAATGATTTGTTTGCTGGGTTAATGTGCATCTGAGAACCGTTCATAACGTTCATGGCTGACGAAAGCTGCACTGCAGCAGGTGGACCTTGAGAAGGTGTTAAAGGAACTTGATTCGTAACAAAAATAGACTGAGGATCTTGATGGAGGTTTGCATTTGGTACCACTGAATAGAAAGAACCTCTGGACTGCATCCTGTGAGTAACTCGAGGTGCTGGTACAGCTACTTGAGGTAAGTTACTGTTGTCCTGATTATCTGCAACAACTGACCTGGGTGACGCTAAGCTTAAAGGAGCAGTTTCCGAGCTGGATGAAAAAGGCATCGACATGGAAGGATTGATCTCTGACATGCTGGTTGGCAGTATTTCATCTTGGACATTATTTAGCGGTGCAGGGCTGCTCGATGGGCGAGTTTCAGCGACTCCCGAGTTGCTGCTAGCTGACATACTGCAACTACTTGCAACCGAAGATGGTGCGCATGCATTTGCAGCGGGCTGGTCTGGTGTTGACACCTTCTCTTTGGGTGCCGAGACAGCCGAGAAAGAGTCCGCTTTAAGTGCAGAATGCTGCGTTTGTGGAGCATTAGATGGCAGAAACGCTGTGGGCACTTGCCCGTTGTTTGGGGGGGCAGAGGAAGCTGAAGGCAGAGTGCTACAGGTGCTTGTCACAGTTGAGATTGCTGTTGCTGCAGCACTCGTCTTGGGAACACAGGCAAACAACTGCTTTCTGACCGAAGAGGGAGTCCGATTACTGGTTACACACAGCGGTTGGGTGGAAGCAGCTACAGAAGAGACAGTAATGGGACAACTAGAAGTAGCTAATCCAGAAGACTCGAACTATTATGCTTTGGAGAAATGTTTGTGCTGCCAGGGTTAACTGGTCTCACTGGGAATGGTCCCCAAGTGTTCGGTGAAGGCGAAAAAGTTCCTCCAAATTGGGCCATAGGTAAGCGAGGGTGCCGGATCTGTTGCATAGTTTGGGCAGCCAGCAAGGCAAAATGAGGGTGAGAATAAGCTAGAGGAAGAGACACCGGAAAAGATGAGCGCACATTCGCTGGGACGTTCTTGTTTAATTTGTTAGTAGGCTGGAAAGTAGATAGTGTTGATGACTGCGATGTGACTAGGGGCGGTGCTCCGAGAGGAAAGGAGTTCTTGTTTGAAGCAGTCGCAGTGCTGACTCCGGATGAAAAGTTTGCATGGATTGATTTGGTACTCGAAGCAGGCGTTCTTATATGAGTTTTCGGAATCAAGTCTTCCAGTTCCTTGGCAGGATCTTGAATAAGGGCATTGATGAGTTGCACTGCGTATCGCGTTGACTCTGTACCACCCCTAGATTAAATACAAACATATTTATCTTTTGCAAAAGGAAACCCCACTTTGTGCAACATCCTGTAGCCTCAATTTTATACTGATCTGCAAGTCTATTGCATGTTTATGCCAGTAAGTTATTTCTTGACTTTTGCGTAACTTAAGGATTATCTTTGACAAAATAGACCTTCAGCATATCTTGGCAGCAGTAATATATGTTCTATTCTAGTACCAAGAAGCTAAATATTTCCCATCTTAAAAAGCAAACAAACTTCTTAACAAATGATATTGTGGACTAACTCAAGACTTTCATTTCTAGATACTGTACCTTATAGTGATCATTCTCTCTCCATTCTTATCTTTTTGCTTATCAACGTCAATATGGGCACCAGTGACATCTTGAATTGCTGTGATGTTGCACCCACCTCTTCCCATTATTCTAGATACGACAGAAGCTGGGACAGATAATTTCTTTGACCTATATCACAAAGATCACAAATCTGTGAAATGTATTCAAACTTTGAAGGCATACAAAAAATCCCTCGCTGTCTGACATGTGGCTGAAGCAATATTCTTAAGTTTCAGGGCAGCAAGTGGTTTTCTGCTGATATTTTCTTCACCCTTTGGAGCCTCTCAAACTCCCCCACTCAAATTGCTCATCATCCTCAGTACCTGATGAGGATTCTCCAGAAGCACTTATTCCACCACTGTTGTAACACAGATATACGTGCCTCACACTGCGTCAGAAACCCTTTTGGATTTTATCTTATCTTGTGTACCTTCAAAGTGAGACAAATCCTTAGCTTATCAACCTAAATTTACATAAATAGCGCTGCTTCAAATATAAAAGCCCATGGCTTAGCTACTTTGATCGTTTATAGCAAGGGTTTATAGCAAGGAGAAGGTGGTTTTCCAATATTTTCCCAGTGATCAGCTCTGTAATACCACTTGCATTCACAACCCTTTTAGTACCCACCTCTCTCAGACCTCAAGATCTGAAAGTTTATTGGTGACACTACACAATGGTGGATGGCAGACGGTTAAATTGTGCAGTTCTGTGATTTAAGGAGCTGCTGGAAGCCACCGTGAAGGCAGCACAGATTTTCAGAAGCAGGCTTACTGTCAGGCCACAACACTGTATTGCGTGTGTTCAGCGAAATAAGTCAATGTAAAATGTTTGTAATTCACATGGTATTGGTGGGTCAGTGCAGGCATACAGTACCGGGAAGTCTTTGAACACGAGCTATGCTTGCATTCAGACCCCAGCCAAGGTCTCTCTGGGCCACCACTGTCCCCAGACTTTAAAGGCTGGACGTCTCAAGCCCATACACCGCTTTCAAGCTTGCCAGTGATGTGCAGTAGTTCAATGCTGAACAATTAAGAGGGGATTCAAAGGGGTTTCAGAAACCGCTGTGATCACAGTGCAGGTGCCTCTGAACACTGTACAGATCACCACCATCCCCTGAAAAGGCTGCCAGCTTCACCTAGCTATTCCAGTCTTGGAAACTTTTAAGTAACTTGATCCTCAGGAAATTGTTTCTCACTTAATAGGACTTAAATGAAACCCATTTTATTTTAAACGCATCTAAATATATGGAAATGTTCTAAAGCATCACCTCATCTTTCCAAGGTGTTTTTTCTGTCCCCCTCTCCTGCCAGGAGAGCATGCTACAACCCTCCCCATCCCCAGAAACCAGGTCCTCAGAGCACGCACCCAGCTCTCCTCCCAAGGCTGTTTCACACTTTGGGCTTTCTTCCCCGCTCCAACCCCAAGGCTCCTCTCTCAAGACAGACATCCCAGTCACTCCCTCCCCAAACCAGAGTTTCCATCATCCCCTAACTTTCGAGGTACACCCACATTACTCACAGGGCTCCTAAGCATACCTTGGTCTGCTTCCACCTCAGCCCACTAGGAACCCCACACCACCACCTATGGAGACATTCCTCCTCCAGGAGAGCTCACCCCAGTGCCCAGGCACCTGCCCACCCATCACCCACTGCTGATTCCCTCCCTGCCCACCAAGCTTGATGGTTTTTACCTTGAGAAGTGCCCAAAACAGTACCTTTTTGCTCCGGAACAGCAGCGCCCTCCTCTCTGCAGCTGAAATTGCTCAATTGGTGTTGGCTGCAGAGTGTTGCTAGGGGGAGGGTCTTTCAAAACTCTGCCTACTTGCCTGTCAAGGGCAGAAGGGATGTTTTCATTGGTTACGTCTTTGACAGACATCCCTTCTAGCCAGGGGGTTACTCACAGGGAGAGGGGGGAAGAAGAATTCTTGCTGAGCCCAGGAGAGACTTTAGGAGAGGAAGGCATGCAGCTCCCCGGCATTTTGCATGCACATCTAAAGTCACCAAAAAGCTCTTTGGCAAGACGGATGCTTCGATCCGTCAGGGCATAGCAAACACCAGTGCAGAACACTTTATGGATGCATTCTTTATGGCACAAAGCCTGATTCCTCAGGGATGAGGAAAGGTCGGTTTTGGATGCCATCTCTAGAACCCTACCACCTCCAGCAGAAGAGCAGACAATACCCAACCAAGCAGTTGAGTTGAGCCTATGAGACTCAAGAGACCCAGGAGGAGTGACGGAGCAGCTCCAGGGTCAATGGTGGGGTCTGTGTGCAGCCCTGGAAAAGTCAGCTGCCCGTTTAATGGTTTCACGCCTGCACAACTCACCAAGTGGTGGGCAGTCTGCAACCATACATTTAGCAAGGCCATGTCACGGTGGAGACCCCATTTGCGAACACAACAAAAGGCAGAGACCAAACCAACTCTCTAAAGGTTCAAATGCTTCAATTTTCAGATTAAACTGCCTTTTTAACCTTTATTAAGAACAGTCTGTGGCTTCCACTAATCTGAATGCATTAAATCCTCCGTACAGTCTTTGCACGTAGCCTAAAATTCTCTAAAATGAGCATATTTGGACACTACCATTGCAGAACACAAAAGCAGGAGGGCATCATAAGTGCACCCAAAGCATCTGACACTTGTATGTTCACGCTGTATTCCTTTTTGATAAAGAGAACAAAAAAAGGAAAGCCAGATGATAATTTCTCGTTACAAGTAGTAGACATCATAAAGGTTACAGAAAAGATACTGGGGTGTTAATGGCCATATAATAAAAAACAGTACATACAAAAACAAAGGGAAAGTTTGCTTTACAGAAAATCTTTAAACCTAATTACACCTCTAGCACTCACTTTAAGGTGACAAAATTTTCCATGGAATCAGCGACCAAGGTCACCGCCCAAAGTGCAATGAAATCTAGCCTTGAAGAGATCATCCACCTCTCTCCTCTACTGTACTAACATCCATCCTGCCTTTAGTTCATGTGCAAGCAATCATCTGCCGTAGGGGCTTTCCAATGCCATCTGCTCCCTCCCCCTTTTATCTTATCCCCACATCCTTTACTCCACTGAACTCACAGGTAAAGAAAACCCTTGTGCCATATAAAATGTTTGTGTCATACTGATGTTAAGTTAGTGAGGAGTTACTACAAGTTAGGACTGCAATTTGTTTTCACAGCACTGCAAGAGTAAGGGGGGTAGATTTTTTATAAATTAATTATACAATTAAATAATTAACTAACATTGCTGGACATTCTATATTTGAGAATAATTTACAAGCTAAAAAGCTCACAGTTTTTAAACACAGAATTAAAGTCTTTACCTTCTAACCACTTCTTTCCAGCCTTCTTCTCTTTTCTGGCCTCTTTTTGGACTAGTCAGATTCAACTTCACATTTGGAGAGGTCAGAGGCAGGGAAACAGGCTTGTAAGTAGTTGACAAGGAATTTGAGTGACCTTCACCATCAAGTCTGGGAACAGAAATGTGCTGATTACAAATTACAGACTAAAATGACAGCATTACAGTATACATTTCTGCAGCTTAAAACTACTAGCACGAACTGTTTTCATTCTTATTTTCTACCTGGAACAACTGTTGGGTGACTCCATAGGTAGTTTTTTTACCTTTTAGTCCACAGCCTATACCTTTCCTCCAAAAAGTGGAGTGCTAAACTGAATTAAGTAATACCAGAAGCACTAAGGACATCAGATTAAAAAAGTTTATAATAGGTGGTACACAGCCACTTAGGCACAACCTGATGATGTGTCTATACTGTGTTCTCCTTTTTGAATAGCTTTTTAAGAAAAGGTACTTTGGTAATAATGTCTCTTTCTTACTAAATACTTGAAAGTATCTGTTTTTTAGCTCTCATTGTTACAGATTCCCCAGAAAGTGCTTCTACCCCTCACTCCCTGTTTTATGAATGGGTAACTGAGGCACAGATATTTGAGCATATTTATGTATTTAAGCCCCCGTGACATCAGTTTGGAAGCAGGTGCCCAAGTATCTTTACCTGTACTAATACAGTTGTAGCAATAGTCTAGTGATACAAACAATGCAAAGTTTGGGTGAGAAAGAAAAAGAGAAAGAGAGAGAGAACAGGCAATCTCTTGTTAGGTTAACTGATCTACGTGGAGGTGGAAAAAAAGCAGCACTGGGAGCTCACAAGGTCATCTGCAGCACTGAAACATAGGCAGCAATCTTCACAAGTCACTGAAAAACTAGCCTTATGTGATTCAACCCAGCAAAACTACAGCATGGCTGGAAAATTTTACAGAGGACCTCACGCTTCAGCTATCCTGCTAAGCATCACTCCTCCTCTTTACTATATGCAAGTTTTTATTCATCCATTTTATTCCCCATTCTTTACAGCATTTTATGTTCATTGTGTCTTCTTGCAGGCAAACTGTTTGTTTATACTATACTTTATACAAAGTTCAGAGACCTATCCACATTTAAGTAACCCAAGCATACTGATTACATGAAAAGCAATGTTTAGACAATATGCCTTTTAAAATGGCAGCATTTTCTCTCTTTACTTCAGTAAGTTATAGCTCTCTGATGATACACCTGCCCAAGGCATTTTAAAGTTCTGGAGAACTTTACTTGTCCTCAGATAACTGTATGATTGAGGCAAAGAGAACAAGAAAATGCATATGAAAGAAAAGAACGAAGTCCATTGTGGAATATTGATTCCAGAGTAGACTTTAAAAGCTTTTTTCTGCTTTGTCTGAAAATGTCTAGGTATGTTTTCAGAAAAGCATCATTATTAAGTTTAAGTTCCAGTTACAGTAGCCTTGTCATCAGCATGTCTATGACTAGAAAGCAAATTTAGAAATGATCTTCAGACAAAGTCTGCCTAGTGCAAGAGCCAAATTGCAGAATTAATAAAATATACTAGCCCCATTTTGGTATTTATATACTGCCTTGTTTCTTAGGTGTACTTTATCTAACAGAAGCGCCGCTTCTAACAAGGAGTTAGAAGTACGCATGTAGTTAGCCCTGCTGTAGTGAACTGCACAGGATTACAAGGCTTTTGTAGGAGGCCTTGGACAAAAAAGGTCCAAGGCAAAAACAATTTATGTTCATAACACAGAACATAGACAAAATCTGATTTCTAACATTCCTAAGGATAATCCAAAACCCACACCCCCCCAGCCACAAGGGCTGACAAATCCACTCATTCTGCACCTAACTTTAATCTGGGGGAAAAAAGAAAAGAAAAAAAGAAAATCCCGACTCTCTTCCCACTCCCAGACAAGTGCCTCAATCAGTCTGGCAACAGCTTTCTCGCTTGCTGCCCTTTTTGATCCCATGTTTGCTTTCTTACTGAAGCTGAGTTCTCAGTCAGCCAGGTGTCCTGTAGATCAACCCCCGTACCCTCTTCCCCTCCCTTAATGCAGGAAAAAGAAAAAAAAAAAGAAAATTATGGTGGATCAGACTCATACTACTTACATGTAAAAATAAGCAAAGACTACAGATTCAGATGGGATCTAAGCTTTTTGATTCAGACCAATGACCTATTCAGAAACTGGTGTTATAAAAGTTATTAGCTCATTCCCTGGCAACTGAATGATCTTCCAAACCATTCATATGGCTCCTGTACATTCACCGAGTTCTTTTGACTCTCACCTCTGGCTTGACAAGGTTAAATCAAACTGGCCATCAACCTGGCAGGTGAAATGCTCAGAGTCATCAACTTCTTCCCTCCTTAGAACAAAGAGATTGCAATTCGAATGAGTTAATGATGAAACCATAAAACAATCAAAAGGTAATGAAGCCACTTCTGTAAATAGATTATAAGTAAAGCTGGCACTTCCTTTCTAAATTCCCAGCATATTCACTTTAAGGTCTATTCTAATAAAGTTGACAATGCAACATGGATGCTTAAATAGTGCAGAGAGGAAACTGGCTGTTTTGCTAAAGTAGTATTAAAAACTAGCCAGCAATGCCAAAAAAAAAAAAAAATCTTATTTTTACCATTTTAAAGAGGTTGCGTTCAACAAACTTGACAGTATTATTTAATAGCTATGCAAATAAAGCAAATTCAGTCTTCTCAAGACTTTGGGAATGAACCAGCTGGTGTAAAGCTTAAGCCACAGAAAATTTACATTGGCATAGGTAAAACCCTGTGAAACAATAGGGAAGCAATACAGCAGTCTCACCTCGTTGGTGTTTTTGAAGCCGAGGTGCTCGTTTTTTCTTCCTGAGAGGGGATAAGCAATGAGGCATAGCGCCGCTCAGAGGAATTTGTATCCATTGTGAAGTTCAACTCTTGGCTTTTACCTCCACTGCTACTTTCGCTATTGCAATCTGTGCTATCCAAGTTATCTGAATCACTGTTCCCACTTGCACCACCACCTCTTGGCTCTCCATTTATTTTATTTTTATCTGCTTTTTGCTGTGCTAGAGATATATGCTGATCTGGCAAAATTATCTGCATATTCTGAGGAGTCTCTTTTGTTTTGTTTTTCTTATTTTTTCTGTTTGTGCTGGGGGTAGTCACCACATTAGCTCTCTTCTTCCCAAAGGCATTTGTGAAAGTAGTTGAAGTCGCAGAAATTCCAATTGTAGTTGTAGTAGTTGCACTAGGAGGCTCTATAGGAACTTCTTGCTCCACTGAAAGAAAAACAGTTGATATACAATCAAAACCCACAAAATATAGAAATCGGTGCTTTGACTGAAGACATTACAGCTGAAGTTACGCTCCTTGCTGAGCTGTCAGACTATTTGCACCGCATTCAGCTGTAAATCCTCCAAGAGTGAAAGACTTTTAGGAACAAGGAGGTGGGAGGGGGGGAAGTGAGCAAAGGAGTTTTGCCAGGAACTCTGGCTGCAGAGGGCAGAAGCTATGCAACAATGTCACAGTACCAGAGAAGCCGCCTTTCAAACAGGTTCCCTTCCCTAGATGGTTAAAAAAGGCACCGCCACAACCACATTGTTCACAGAAACACTTGTTCTTTACCTTCATCATCATTTTCTTCTTCATCATCATCTTCTTGCAGTTCCAGAGTTTCTTTAGGCTTGTTTTCTTCATCTTCTTCTTGTTTTCTTTTTTGTTCCTCTTTCTTCTTCTTCCTCTTTTCCTTTCTTTTCTCCCTTTTAGCTGCAAGAGCTTGCTTTCTGCTCTCCTCTCTTGACTATGTAGGAGAAAAGGATCCATATTTAAACATTTTCACACAGATTAAATTATACTTATAATTCAGATCTTCCCTAGAAGTCTGGGGGGAGGTAGAAAGGAGAGAGCACGATGAACTAGAATGACTTTGTCACATACTGAATCATTACGCAGAAACTGGGCAGGTGTTATGGAACAACAGGACTAGTTGGTCCCAAAACTTCTAAGGAATGACAGCAAAATAACAACCAAAACAGAGGTATTATAAAAATATAATTTTACTGGAAAACCAGCAAAATCTCTCATCATCTCAATCCTTTCTCAAAAAACATTTAATAACATCATTAATATTTTTGCAGCAACGTTCACATCTTTGAGTCAAAAAGATCTCCCAGAGTATTTTACAGAAAAGACTGCTATCATTTGAACCACTTTTTTTTAATATATGGAATCAGTCAAATCAACTACACTACACTGTAGCTTTGCAGAGCAACTGATAGGTGTTTAACGAATCAGCAACCTGGAAAATTTAATAAACTAATATGGAACTTGTTCATCAAAAATTCTAAGAGCCTCCATTAAGAGAGCCCACTAAAGAGTGCTTAAGAAGTGTCTGCATTACTCTGGGGCACTTCACAGTATTTTCAGTGAGGGAGAAGTTGATTTCCCCCACTATCTGCCCAACTCCATATAGCTCATCGGGCAGGTCGCAGGCTCTCCTTTGTAACACTGAGTAGAAGTCCGTGAAATGCTTATGGACTACGTCTTACACAATACGTAACACACCACTGAGACCGAAGACCTCCCTCATTGACATGTTATCTGCACTGAAGTAATGCAAGAGCTACTACCTCAGGTAACTATTGCCGAGTCCAAGCTTTCCTAAAAATGACAACGGAGTGGCTCAAGCAGAAGTCAGTTCTAATTTGCCACCCTCAGTATCCACTTCACTTTTTGTATATTAGAGGAAGGAAAGCGCATACAGTCACAGCATGAAGAACTACTGCCCTAAGAAGCACCAACAGGAAATACAGCCTATAGATTAAGTACACAGTTCAAACCGTTACGCTACACAACAGCAATTCTCTACTCACTTTTTCCAGGTCTAGCTCCTTCAGCAATATAGTTGCATTCTTATTTGCTTCTGCAGCCTGCTGGTCTTTAGCTTTCACAATCGTCTCCACACACTGGTGACACTTTTTCAACAGGTCCTGGAATGCAAACGTGCCTTATTACCTCCATAAGAAACTAAAATTGAGGAGTGAGGCCTACTCTACAAACATGAGATTAGCTTCCCTGTATTCATAAACATACAAACTACTTCAACAGAATAGGACTCTCAAAGCTGATTTTTAAGTTCCGTATTAAAAAGGAGACATGCACAAACCTCCAAATCAAACATACATGAGCAAACATGTACATTCAGTTTTTGAATACTTAAGAATTTCTCATGTATGTTTTCCCTGAAAAGAAGGGACAGGGTCTTTTCCTGAAGTTAAACTCACCTTGTCAGTTATTGTCGCTATATATCGCATGCACTCAATGTCCGAAGGAAACTGGTTAACTTCTTTCACCAGGAACTGAACTACTTTCACATGCCCCTAGAATAGCAAAGAAAATTCTAATCCCTTGTATAAACTTGTCAACATTTCTCATCAAAATACAAGTTTGATATCTCTTAGTCCAATGCAAAAGACTAAAAATAAGCAAGAACATTTCTGGTAAGCTGCTGTTTGGGAAGAAAGGAAGTTACCGTTTGCTCAGTGTTGACAGCATGTCTGCTGTTCTACATCATGCTGGCAAAGACAAGCTCTCCCACAAGTAATTTTTTATTTTAAAATAGAAGGACCAAACCAGGCCCAAGGGCAGCGGCAGCTGTTCATGTTTTCAGTAACAGCCAAGAGGACCCTCTTTAGACCCCACCTGTCACCCCAACCCACCCTCTTGCCATTCACACCACGGAGCTAACTTAGATGGTTCAACTACAAGGTAAGTCTGATCAGGGAACTGAGCCACCCGAGTATAATCCTAGCAAACATATTCCTCTGCTGCTGGATTCACTCATTGAGGGGGTACACTGTGCAACCACACAGAAAGTTATCCAACAGTTGTCTCTCAAGTTATTTGAAAGCAATGGAGGGACAGCAGTGGCATGCTCGGTATTGTTGTTTGTCAAAAAAGCTGTACCCTTATTTGGTATTTTGTTAAAGGCAAAGCAGCTACTGTTAATAAATTCCTCTGCTATGGCTATGCTCCTTGCATCCAACAACATAACTGATGAAACCATCACAAAGCAACGTTCTTCCCGCCAAGGAGAAAAGGCAGTGACAAAAGAGCTGACTACACAAAGTGTCCCACTCAACAACAAATTAGGAACGGAACAGGAGAAGCACAAAGGAATCGGGACAGCTTATTACAGACTGGTGTTTCATTCATCTCAGAAGCAGGACTGAAACAAGCAGTACAATCTTCAGAAATTTAGAGGGGGCTATGGTAATCTCAAGACAGTGAAATCTCAAACAGTGAAAGTTTTTGGACAGTGTATAACTGTAAATAGTAAAGTTAACATGGTTTATGGAACAAAGTTTTTCACCTCTCAAAAATTAAATCTGTGTGAAGTACGCAGATTATGATTACTTTAGAGCAGGCATTTTATCAAAACAGTAATTTTGCTGTGTTGTATTTGATTCTTCCAAAACCAAGCATTCAGATTTAAGACCAAATGAGAAACTCTATTTTGAAAACATTTAGCATTGAAACATAAAATTAAGTTGGTCTCCTACCTTGCGAAATGCTGACATAAGAGGTGTAATTTTCCGATTATCTGCAGCATCCACATCTGCTCCTGCTTGCACAAGCAGCTGAACCACATCATAGTGACCACCATTAGCTGCCAACCACAGAGGTGTGTTTCCTTTCTTGTTACGAACATCAATATGTGCTCCTCTAAAAAAGTACAAGTGTAATCGAGTGAAACGAGGTATGAGTAAAGGTGGAAGTCAGGAAGTAAGATCATGAAAGATCAGAGTACAATTGGATATATAATTTTAATTACTGAAATCTAGTGGCTAGATAGAGAAATTCTGTCCCTGAAATCTGCTGTTTAAGTTGCAACGTAGTGACACAGGCGTTATTTAAACCTCCCTTACCGAAACAAACACTCACCCAATGTAGCCTACTGCACCACCGCTATGCAACTAGCAACCACGGGTCCTTTAAATTATGATTAATGTGGTGACTACCCACAGGACAAAGCAGCCCCTTGAGATTTTAGCAGCACATAGGGTTACGCTTGAAGAGCTCAAGAGCTACTTCCAGGCTTTGCACCCCAAGTGACAGTGGGGAAATGCTCATGTGGGAATTGCTGGATTAATACACAGCAGAGCTGCCAAGCCACACGCTGTTTGCTTACCTCTGGTCCCAGCTGCCTGCTTAGCTTAATTAACACTGGAGTAGCAGGATACTCCAGGATAACACTGGAGAGTAGGGAACAGATACAACATCCTACTTCCAAAGCTTCCCACTCCCTTTGCTCTCAGATGCACGAGGCAACATAAACAAGGGCACCCTTGCCACAGAGGAATACATTACAGAACAAATGTGGCACTAATGAGAAAGAAATAATTTACCGATTAATCAGGAGCTCACAGAACTTGTAGTGACCCTTATCTGCTGCAATTGTTAAAGCTGTATCTCTTGAGGAAGGCACAGGTGGAGCATTAACATCCGCTCCTTTATCAAGGAGAACCCTTCCAACCTCCGCATACCCTCCTGAAGCCGCTTCCATCAGAGGTGTGAGACCAGTCTGTGCAAAGAGAATGAATTACACAGTGTGAAATTTGTACAATATACTTTGGATAAGACATAAATGATTTCTACACAGGGAAATCAGATTTTTTATTTAGCTGCTTATATTTAGTTTAGGAGCCTAACTTCAAGCAGTCTCTTTCTCAAAAAAAAAAAACAAACCAAACAAAAAACCCAAAAAAACAATACTCTTGGGCTTTGATTTATACAAGCCCAGGCAAACTGTTGACTAAGTACCACCAGATAGCTGTCTCAACAGCAAAAACAAAGTTTACAACAGGATTTCTAAAACAGAGGTTAGAACAGATCCAAATGAAGACACAAGTGTTTCTATGAAAATGCTCAGAAACTGGCTTTATAGCTTTTCTCTAGCCTCCCTTAGCACTGAGACTGATCTGGGCCCAACTTAGTTGCCAGGCAAATAAACTTATACCAGCTGCTAACATGCCCAACTGACCATTTGAGAGCTGGCTTTTATCCATATCCCCTTTTCTCCAGCCACAGTCATTCCAGAAGCAGGCGGGGTAGACAGACACAGCAATTATTTCAGCAGCCTTAGGAGTTACCAAAAATTCCTTTGTGCTGGAGAAATCAGTCTGGCTGTCTACACAAGCTTTAAGCTTGCTTTATGGCAGGAGACACAAAGCTGTCCCAGAGTACCAAAGGATGGGACCTGTGGAGCATTTCAGAGGCACAGAAAGTCACAGTACTGAAGCCACGGGTTCTACAGCAACGTAAAAGCTTTACAAAGTTTGACTGCACTACTGCTGTTGCAGACAAGAAATCTGTTCTAGATGAGAATCACTAAAAGCAACACTATTCTCTTCCTGCCTAGACTTCACTCATATGTAAAAATATGTGTATCTATGTGTTCTGTTAATGAGTATCGCATCAAGCTTAAACCTGAAAAGTTTCTCAGTACTACAGAACAAGAGTCAATCTAAGTTTCATTATGAATGCAGAAGGACCAGTCAGCTTTTCCCTAATGCAAAAAAATTCATCACCATTGATGCTTTTTTTTTTAAAAACAAACTTATTTCAGAACATTTAATAAGTCCTCTGATTTAGTAAGTCCTCTGAGCCCAGAGAGGCTCAAAGTAACAGGAAAATTTGAAGAAACTTGACGACTCAGAGAAATCACCTGTTAGAAATAAGTCATAAGGAAAGGCAATTCACACACTTACCTTTGCCCTGTGCTCAACATTGGCCTTCCTGTCCAAAAGCAGACTGACCACCTCTGCTCGGCCTTGGAAACAGGCCAGGGTGAGGGCTGTATTCCGGTTGGTCTCGATTTGGGCATTAATATCAGAACCCATATCAAGCAACAGTTTCACGGCAGGTACGTGGCCATTCATAGCAGCCAGCATCAGAGGAGAAATACCTAGCTTACTCCCGGTCCTAAAGGGAAAGAAACAAACTGCAGTTCCTAGAACCGAGGAATGCTCTGGGAAATGTAAGTGTATCTAAGAGGAAAATGTTTTGTTGTAAGCCAGAAAGGAACGTGTAACATACACAAATATAGACACTGACCTAAAATACTAGCATTTTTGAATTGATTAGGAGAAACCATCAGAGTAACTACATGCAACAGACAATTGCAATTTATAAACAAGGAAAATACATTTCAGCTTTTAGATGTTCAGATGGCTGAAGCACACATAAGCCTTAAAATACATATACTAAAAATCAAGGCTGCTTCTGATTCATTCAGAAAAAACATGCTTCTAGCACAGCTGCAGTTTTAACTTTCTCTAGTGATAGAATATATGTAAGTTTTCTTAAAATGAATAAAGAGGAGGCTTAAGAGACATAGCTGTGTAAATTCGTTCCTCTTACTGAAAAAGACATCTTCAAACACACACATAGAGCTGCCCTGAATGCTTTGGCTGGTTCCTTTACCTGGTTCTATTGGAAATAGTCTGACTTCTAGATCCCAGATGGTAGAAAAGGGAAAG